AGAATATGAGCCGCTGCTCGTAAGGCTGCGCAAGCCACAATGGAGTCTGCCGAAAAGGCAGCTTGGATGGCAGATTTACATTCAGCATGTGCTTCGGACCAAACCGTAGCGGCATCAGACTAAAATATAGTAAATATGGAAGGGCAATGAAGCTAAGTTACAAACCTGGCACATTTGCTGCAGAGCGTAAGCCATAGCTTGTCGAGTGCGTGGCTTTGAGCAGCTTTCAACGTCTAGAATCACACATAGATGTGTGCAGTTAGTCGCAAGAAAACGCTTTCAGAACTACCTTTGAAGATGTTCTTTGACCGAAACTGATTTGTCCTTATGGCAAGCTCTCCATAGAGCGCTCCACTGCACATAGTTAGCGAGCTATCCAGCTCAGTAGGTGTATCCAATGGCACCTATACAGAACACGAATTTCCAATAAAAAAGTAAAAATATGCCATCTTCAAAAACATACGGTATATTGCAGCTCACAAACGCGATACCCCTCGTGGATGGTGGCTTCTGATAAAGGAACAGTTAACTTGCCGACCAAAGCACGAGCAGCAACGAATGTTGTTTCACTAAAAGAAAAAATATAATTATAAACCGTAGATAATCTGTAGCTGATAAATCCACTATTGAAACTAATCAAGAAGAAATATCTTCTAGTTAAAGCCTGGTTAGTACCCATATTTTTATAATACCCACAGAAGAGCTTGATCTTGCGAATGAGCCAATAATTTCAGAATCTCACAGATGAGTGGTTCTGGCTTCGTATGAATTCGCAGTAAGCGCGCAAGAGCACCTAAATATGGAAAAAATAGGAGAAAATAAGAGATCCTGGCAGTTGCACAATTAGTAAACCTTACCTCCAGCTGCGAGTCGAACAGGCCTTGATGACGGCTCTTGCAACGATTTAAGGAAAGTGGACTGTAGCTGTGGAAGGAACGGACGAAGCAATGTATCAACCTGCAAAACCAATGACAGATACGATTAATTGCTAGATGCCGCCTTCCAAGTATAAACAATGATTAGGAGTATGTGGTGAATGTAAATAAAGAATGG